ACACAGATTATAATGATTGGTTCGACCTAGTAATTCACTAGATAATTCTTTTCATCGGTTGGTTGTGTCCAATCATACCGTGGTCAATCGGGACGCTCTCCTGCAAGAGCAGGAGCAAGAGCAGATCATAGAATATTACAGTTATAGATGGGAGATCATACTATTCTCTCTCCAAATCTCACTCGCTCTACTCTCGTTATCGTAAGCACTCATAATGTTAGGGTGAAGTCCCATGGAGGCAGCGTACGGCGTACCGGCGTATGGCGTACAGGAACTAGACCAATCACAGGCTTTACGCCCGTTTCGTTACGCCAGCACGGATGTTACGCTGACTCTTGTAGCGTTCCAACGTTACGTTACACATGTACACGCCCCGGCGTTAATGCCGTCCGAATATCCGTGTGACTCGCACACGATAACGCGTCACTCATACACTGCTGCGTGTAGGTGAGCTAAGAGCAGCACGGAGTGGCGGAGGGAGCTAGCGGTATACGATCGTCGGACGCTTGGAGAGGGAATAGTGGTGGGAGTCGCGGCGATCTTCCATCCTCTATCGCAAACGTAAGAACGAGAGAAATAGCATTATAAGACGTCTGGACAGAAATGCCGTCCTAAAATACGTGTGAAACACACGAAGAAAACGCTTGACTCACACTGTCTCGTCTATACGTGAGCAATACGCGGTGTCCCGACGATTGTTTCGCTCGCTCGAACGTTCATGCATTTTTCATTGTTAGCAAGGAAATTACTGTAATGTAAAAATCTTGGGGAAAGGTTTTTAGGAGACTTTGACAAATGCTTCTTAATAGCTACTCTTGAAAAAAAAATTAATATTAGATTTATTTTAATATAGAATTCTGAACCAACATAGAATATATTGCAACAATATAACGTTTGTGTAGGTTGTCGATCGAAGAAGAGTATTTTTAATTTTATTGTTGCATAAACACGCGAGATATAATTGTTTCATATTTTATGCGTTCGAGTATCGTTCCATCGTTATAAAATTTGGTGACTCTAAGGGCCGATTTTTGCGCCTGTTTCAAATAATTATTGTTCCTTATTACTATGGATACAAAAATGCGACTCGTTTCTATTATTGACTATCGACCTCAACTGCTTCGACACAAAAATCGGCCCTTCTCAGGGCCACCAAAATTCGTTCTTACGTTTGCGATAGAGGATGGAAGATCGCCGCGACTCCCACCACTATTCCCTCTCCAAGCGTCCGACGATCGTATACC